CCACAATACTATCCAGTACAATACAATACAATGTAATGTATTAAGTATGATAAAATACAATACAATGAAATACAATACAATGTATTATGTTACAGTTTGATATTGAAGAAATTTATTGGTGTTGTTCATTTACTGATTTTTAAAAGCACCACACATTCTGTAGTTTTTCCCCCCAAGTGAAACATGATATAGTGTTATAATAAACTATTGCGTGATTATTTCTGTGATTAAACTGATGATTTTATGTACAGACTGGTCTGGATGGCTGGACGATACAGTCAGCAGGAAGTAGCTACATGCCTGAACACATGTTCAACRTATGGTTACTGAATGTAAAAGAAACACTAGTTGAAAAACAAATTATGTCAAGAGGATTTGACCCTTGAGCAGGACAGTGAAATACGGTACAACACGATACGACAGCACAACACTACGCAATAAAATATGGTTTAATGGTTTAAATATGGTAAAATACAGTACAATGCGATACGATATATGATACTGTCTGATACGATGCGATGCRCRTTAAAGTACAATWCACCAGGATGTAATACGATGYAGTGCAGTATAGTACAGTATAATTAATATTATTATTGTCCGATAGGGAATATTTGATTTGGACTTTACTCAAACTGAAAATCAAATGCTGTTGAGCTTCAAACATCCTCATAATTATCAGWCTTGTGCCTGACTGTCATCAGAAACACTGATGGAAGGCAATTATTATCCTATGAGTGAACACAGAGTGAAAAGCTAAGCACCTGCGAAGGCAGCGGGGATGTAGTCCTTGACCTCGATGTAGACAAAGAGAGCAGGCAGAGTGAGAGGCATGTTACTCTCACTGCGCAGGCAGATGTGATGAAAGCCTGCAGGACCAAAACAAAAAACCTCAGTGATTTTAAAAAYCAGCACAGCTCATGAAAAAAAAGGCTAACTAAAAAATAGCAAACTATAGGAAGCTATGAACAAATCAGGGATTTTAAGTCATGTGGAGGAGGTGAAATGTTTTGTTCTCTGGCCTGACTGGATGGCGTCCACGGGGATWATTCTGTGCCCCACAAATTTCCCGTTCTCCTCATGAACTACAATTCTCAGAGCGGCCATTTCTGGGAGCAGGATCTGCCAGAAAAAAGAGTGTTTATTAGGACTGAAATCAGCAGCGCATCAAAACATAAACACACTCATGTTCATGTGTTTATTAGGGTCTGTTCAGAGCTTTTAACGCCCACCTTCTCAAAAACAAAAGGCTCCTCGTTCCACACGGGATTAATGGCGTTGGGCGTCGTGGTCCACTTGGTACGGTATTTCTTCTTGGGGTCTCCTGGCAGTCCGATCACCTCCACCTCAACCCCGGTTTTCACACACTTGTCAGAAAGAAACTGTCCTGAGTAGATCTGTTTGAGACAACGAGGCTTGATGGTTAACGGCGCTGATGAGTGCTGCTGCGTCTGCATGCAGATGAAACAATGGACATAAATGTAGCTCAGGTTCTCGATCATGCAGGGTCCATTTAAAAACCAGGAATCATGCTTTCAGCCCCAGCAGGAAGCTTTTATTATGATGGACTCTGCGTATAAACACATCTAAAAAACACTCACGTTTACCTAAGCTGTTAAAGCTAATTTAGTCCTTAAATTTGAACTTTGTTTTACTTTCAGTGCAATACTACAAATACTTTAGCCTTAAAACGTGATGATTTTTTTTACCTGGAATTGTGTAATGAGTTTGTCCTCAGAATATAAACTTATTTTTATCACTCTCAGCTGAAAGGCAGAGGCAGATGATGTTTTTTTTCCAGAATCTGTGCGTATATTCATTTCTCTGTCTGTTACYAAAATATCTTTTGAGTCACTAGGTGAATTTTATTGAAACTAGCAGAAAGTAATTAATGTGTGTACCTCTATAATCCTTACCATTTAGCCAACCCAAACCAATATAGCGGCTATAAATAACTGATTAAAAAAAAACACAAAAATGGCTCTAATTCAATCAATTTTGCAGCTATTGATTTAAACTTTGGTGTGGTTGTAGCTGAGAGTGATCCCCAACGCATATTCTGAGAGCTCAGACTGAGAGAGATGTTTAAAATTAGGTACCTAAAAGTTGTACTTAAGTAAAGGGGCAGACATTATAAGAGTTTTTCTTTGTTCTCCTGCCTTTCATTTTATTTGTGATTTGTATTTTTTTATTGTATATAGAATTTATTTTGTTTTTAAAGGAAATAAATAAACTAAGATAAGTAAAAGTAGCAATACTTGTTTTTACTCAAACAAAAGTAAAAAATATCTCTCCACGAAATTACTCAAGTAAAAAAAAGGATTTTGTAAAAAGAGTACTCGAGTATTGAGTTAGTGACTATAACATCTGATTTAATATCTAAAAATGTTGTCATTAGACTGAAACAAATAGTTACGTGCAAATATATATATAAATTAATTACACTTATAAAAGTATATATATATATATATATATATTACAAAACAAGGTAAAGTACTTCCAGTGACTATATCTACTGTTTGCCATATATTCACTTGACCTCCAAATGTCTCAGCAGATCGACAATATTATTGTGTCTCAACATAAACTGTAGGTGTGTGTCTCTGGTGCATTTCTGGTTAAAACATGTTTGTTCTTCATTCAGTGAAGTTACTTACAGTGGGAAGAGTACTCAGACATTTTTCTCAAGAGTAGCGATACTTTATAATATTCTTACTCAAGTAAAGTAAAAAGGATGATGTGTTCGAAATACTCCTAGAAGTACATCTTTTTCTGAAACTTACTCAAGTAAGTGTGACTACTAAATCGGTAATTACTACCCATCTCTGGTATTATCTGTTGGGACTAAAATGCTCCATGAAAGGTGGCAGGTGATGTGCATTCATTTAGGGAACGTTCGTTTTATTTAGTTTGAGCAGGTGATGGAATTGTGCCGATCACAAATTAAAAACACAACACCGACGGTTTGAACCTGCCTTTATAGTCAGCGTGCTCGCCACAACCGTGTCAATCCTGTCGCAGAACGGGTCGAACCTCTTGTCGCTGCGACGCAGGACGTCGTGTTTGAGGAGGTAACCCGTTCTGCCGTTGAACTCGAACAGAGCCATGTTCAGCTGCATGGGGAAGTCTGGGAGGACAAAACACACACAGACACACACAGACACACAGACACGGATCATTCGTGCCACCTGTCTGCAGCCTTCAGGAGCAGCAGGGATGCAGATGTGCAGCAGAGGCCTCTGCAGCACAGAGAGGTGCAGCACTGACCTCCTGTGGTGAGAGGAAGGAAACTCACGTCTGAGATATAAATCATTTCAAGAGTGTCAGAAAGTTGGTCAATTCTTTGTGCAGTGTTGTATAAAGTACCACAAAGTGATACTTGAGTAAAAGTACAATTATCTTACCAAAAAATTACTTTGGTAAAAGTTAAAGTCTCCTTTAGGAATATTACTTAAGTCTTAAAGTATCTGATATTTTTGTACTCAAGTACTAAAAGTAAAAGTATTGATTTAAAAGTAGCAGTTAGATTTTCTGTAAGGATATTTATTAGGAGGTGACCTCCCCAAAAAAAATGAAGAAATGACTTTGTTGTATTAAAATAAATAATTTATGTAAAATTTATGATGCACTAGTCTATCTGTTTCAGTTTATATACATTTATCAAAACTTTTCCCAAAAATGAAAATCTATCTGAGGGCTGTGGCCAAATACAATAATATAATTCATGAAATACAAATACTTCTTAAGTACAGTCCTTTTATTTTAATGATTATGTCCTGCTGGAGTGTGACATGATTTGTTTGTGTACAAACTAATACGGTATCAGAATTTTATATATTTATACTTCTCATTCAACCACAATTAAATTCACTCTATCTAGGAGGCACAATTTATATGGATGGTATTTATGTTTTTACAATAACAAAGTGGAATGAAAACAAGCAAGAATGAAATAAAAATAAACAACTTTCTACTTCTTGCCTTTTTAAAAAATGTAAGGAGTAGAAAGTACAGATAATTGTGTGAAAATGTAAGAAGAAAAAAAGTAGGCTGAAAATAAATTACACAAGTAAAGTACAGATACCCAAAAATTCTACTTAAGTACAGCAACAAAATATTTGTACTTAGTTACTTTACAACTCTGTCTTTGTGTAAACTTGGTTAAATATTCAACTCAGGCCTTTCTAAAGATCAGTGTTTATGAGACAAATGACTAAAATCATAAATCACATTCTCCCACTAAGCTGGAGAAACATACACTGCTCAAAAAAATAAAGGGAACACTTAAACAACGCACGCTAACTCCCAATCTTAATCAATGAAATATTCGCATTGAGTACTTTGTTCTGTACAGAGTTGAATGTGCTTCACAAAAGTTTGATTTACTTGGACTTAGCATGCGTTGTTTAAGTGTTCCCTTTATTTTTTTGAGCAGTGTATGAATGCATTGAACCAGTTATCGATATGAAAATAGAAACTTATAAGAAAGAATGTTATAACCAAGTTAMTAGTAAATATTGAATGATGCTATAGATGTAAGTGGGTGTAAAAAATTAGTTTGTTCTTCTACCCTCTGAACGTGTAAATATATTTCACTATTGTTCTTCTTGTGTTTGTTTTAAGCTTGTTTTCTTTGCATATAACTTTGTTTATTCTTTTATTACAGAACGTTCATTGAAGTCAAACTAAACTAAACAGAGCTTGGCCTATTTCATAAATCAAATATAAAGCTGGACTAAGCAACGCTCTTTGTTTTGATTGTCTACTTCTATTAAAAAAAGGTTATTTCACTACATTAAGAAAATTGCAATAAATCTGGATATTCCTTCATGTTTTGCAAGAAGATGGAGATATTTCAGAGAGATGTTTAGCATCATATTTTCAGTTATACCCATCGTCTGATAGTTGAGAGCCACCATTTGGCAGCCGACGTTCCAGAAAGGCTGAGGGCTGTAGTTGGAGGAGTCCATTCTTGTTCCTTTTGGATAAATCCTGCTCATTTGTCTCTTATTGTATCTTGAAAAGGTGGATTTAGGAAGAATGCCATATTATTATTATTTTACACATAAGAGATTTAAACAAAGTATATTTACACAGAGAAAATGTATGGGTTTTTTTTTTTTTTTTTTTTTTTTGCTACACAAGGATACTCAACAAATTCAACAGCAGTCTTTGCGATCATGGCCTCCCCTTTGGTCTCCACAAAAGATGAGATGGCATAACTTTTGTTTTTCCCTGAAGAAGAAAATGAGAGGTTTATATCTCACACTGATGTGTGTTTAAAAAGTGGTGATGCAAAAAAAATAAAAGTTTATCCTACTTTTGGAGTTTTCAAACGAGATGAATTTGTTGGGCTGGATGTAGTTCACTATGGATGACATGGCCTCGTACGCTGTTACTTCCTGTCCAGCTGTGCCCTGCGAGGGATTGACAGGAAGTCAGCTGATGTTTAGATTCTTTTTGCTGCAAAACAAATAAAAAAATGAATCGTTTTACCTCGTCTGATGTCTTCATTTTCTCCTCATCCTGTTCTTCTGTATCTTCTTGCTCCTCTGTGTCCTCCACAGCGGCTTCTCCTTCAGCTGAAACATAAAAACAGTGTTCGTTCTTCGACTGGCTGTCTTGGTCTGAACCTGCGGCCTCGGGGTTTGAAGTCTTTGACCACAGAGCTACCAGCCTCATGTGAAAGCTGAATCTGTCGTACACACCTGGGTTTTCCTGTGTGCCAGCAGCTGGGTTGGTGTCGTCCTGGGGAGAGGAGTTTGGGTCCTGGGGGGTTTCAGCTGCTGCAGTCTGATCGGTCACTGCAGGGCTGGGTTTCTTGGTCTGGACTTGCTTTTCATGACCCTTTTTGTTTTTTATGAGGATCTTGCCCATGAGCTCAGAGGGGCTGGGGATCTGCTGGCCCGGCTTCAGCTAGAAGTAATCAAATAAATGTGAGTAAACTAGAATAAAACAGCACATTTTAGCAAAATTGTAAAGTAACTAAGTACAAATACTTTGTTACTGTACCTAAGCATAATTTTGGGGTATCTGTACATTACTTGAGTAATTATTTTTCAGCCTACTTTTTACTTCTACTTTTTACATTTTCACACAATTATCTGTACTTTCTACTCCTTACATTTAAAAAAAAGGCAAGAAGTAGAAAGATGTTACTTTTATTTCATTTTGCTTGTTTTCATTCCAGCTTGTTATATAAAATACTATCCATATAAATAGTTCCTCCTGTTACGATTGAGTTTGGTTGATTAGAACCCCAAGATGCAGAACTGAGTGAGGTGGCAAAAAGTGATTGATTAAAACAAAAACAAAGGGGCTGACGTGGCAGCAAACAAGAACAAGGGATTTGAGCAGGAACATGAACATCAAACAGAGAACAAGGATCTGACAAAGACTGAGGACAAAGGACAGAATATAAAGGAAGAACTAATGAGGTAAAACAACACCTGGGGGTGAAACATGAGGCTCAGGTGTGAGTGGGCGGGGCTAGAGCAAAGGCAGACAGGAGGAAGAAAACAGGAGGAAAAGACAAAAAACTTAGACTAAATCATAAGCACAGAC